CCTAAACCCTAAACCCTAAACCCTAAACCCTAAACCCTAAACCCTAAACCCTAAACCCTAAACCCTAAACCTAAGCCCCTAAACCCTAAACCCATGGTACACAGTGAGTGAAAATAAACACTCACCGTGTTCCATCACCAGCGAAACGATAATACTCAGTATACCAACACACGATCCACACCATTTGCGAAGCAAACAGAAGCCTTTCCCCTACTCTGTCCGTCGGCAGGGCCGCAGTCTATTCATTCTCAAGCGGTCTATCTGTTGCGGTCTCTAAATAATGTTCGTAAGTACCATCTCATTCATTCACCCGTGTCTCTGGTGTTTTTCTGTGGAATGCTCGACGGCCACTGCACGCACATAGCGATAATCAAAACTCACTGTGTAAAGTCGCCGCTCGTTCGCTCGTCACAGCGCAGTCCGCACACGGACACACGATGCACAACAGTAATGCACACCATAGCGAACCAAACAGACGCCTCTCTTTGACTCCTTTGCGCCCATCCCATCCCTCTCTCCTTCCCACACACACGTAGCAATGCCCCAGGAGCCCGCTCACTGGCACAGAGAGAGAGATACATGCACACCCATCCATCTCGGTCAGTGTGGGTGGGGCTGTACTCACAAGCATAACTTACAGACGGACAGTCGGAAAAAAGAACATACAGATGGGCCAAATTGTGAGTATGAGGTGGGCGCAGTCTTATTGACTTGGACAAATCGTCAATACACTCTACGTCACACAGTCAGTCAAAGGATCAGTGTGGATGGTGTCAGTCTATCTGTGAGATGCTCCACACAGAGAGGGATGATCGACACTCACTGTGTCAGATGACCGCACAGCAACTCACAGTCAGCACACCGACATACGATGCACACACCAATAGCGAACTAAACAGAGCCCCTCTGCGCCCATATCATTTCTCTCAGGGGAGTACAGCCTCCCCTCCCGTTGGCCATCTTGATTCGAGATGCTCTCATGGGCGACTCCTGCACACACACACGCACATGCCGCATTCACTCACACACGTCACACTTAGACATCCCTCTCAGGTCGTCACCTCGGCTTTCGTCGCCAGGTAATTGAGTGCCTCTAGCGGCCCCTGTCACACACATACACAGACCACCCAAATAGCGAAGGAATGGCTGATGTGGTGTGTTTGTGCCGCAGGTGAGAGAGAGAGACCTACCTGTGAGTGTAGTCCCTCTAGCATAGTGAGAGTGTCGTAGATGTTGCGCAGCACACCAACCTGCACACACACACACACACACACATGAGGCAACACAATCAAGCGCTGACGCTTGTCTAATGGGAGGCCTTTCATTCGTTGCAGTGACTAACCGACTCATCTGCTTCCGCCTCGCTGCCGAGCAAACCGCCACCTTGAGCGGCTGACACACACACACGCACACACACACATGCAGGGATGTATCCGCCGTTGTGTGTGGTGGTGCTGCCTGCCTTCGGCTCACCTGCAGCCGCCGCCTGTTGGTTCATTGTGGTGTGCTATGTGTCAATCACTCACTCACCACAACGAGCAAACACCTGCACAGCACAGACACCAACACCGAGATGGGATGAGGGGTGTGGTGTGATTGATGTACCAGCCGTCAACGAGTGAGCCTCTGGTGGTGCTCACTCGCCAGTAAGCTGACCAGCTGGTCGGTCATTTGACTCCTCAAGCTGTCAAGGCGCCGACCGATCTGCACTCACTCACACAAAAGCGAAGCAAAGCAAAGCACAGATTGAGTGCTCTTTCGCCATGCTGCTGCACGCACATGCCAATCAGTGACACAAACCTGATCGATGCCGAATGGCCGACGAATGAGTAAGTTGGCTCTGCGATGTCCGTCTGACAGCAGCAGCGGCTCGAGCGAACTGATGAGTGCAGCTGAGAGATTCTTCAGTGCTAACAGGCTGCTTCTTCTCCGCTGCAAAGCTGCGGGGCTCTAGCCCAAATTGCGAGCTTAGCAGGAGGGAAGATTCCCGCTTTTGTTGCGCGCGTGCTGTGTGTGTGGCCTCTGCCACGCGTTGTATCCCTTTCTAGTTGTGTTGTAGTGGTGTGTAATAATCGACGGGATCTGGGCGTTGGGAGGGAAGAGAGAAGTTTGAGGTGAGTGGCTGGTGCTTGCACGGGCAGGCACAGAGCAGAGCAGTGCGCAAACGGCGGGGCACACATCTGCGTGAGTGTGGTGTGCTTGCTTGTGCAGGTCGGTCCGTCAATACGCTCTCTTACCTCGCGTCTGGTCTGTGCAGCAGAGACTCAGATCGCACCTCGGCGTCTGTCTGTGCAGGCAGGTAACGAGTCAGTCACACAGGCACGTGTTTGCCTGTGCAGCCAGTCACCAAACTCACGTGTGCCTGTCAGGTGCACCAGTCGACCCAGGCAGCGAGCTGAGGTCGATTGCTGTGTATGTCAGTCAGTCAGCGCAGCTGCCGGCCTGTCTTTCAAGCAGCTCAGCTAACCGACTGATTGATTGAACCCCTCACTCATCTGTCCGCCTGTGCCTCTGTGTGCAGCACGTCAGTCAGTGAGTGGGTGGGGCGGCCGACTGAGCGCAGCACACCAACGGATTCGTTCGTGTATCTGCTCTGCGCTGTCTGCATGTGCAGGTAGACAGACAGGTGCTTTTGCCCAAGATGCTCAACATGAACTGGTTTCGAAAAAAGAAAAGCCATGAGGTCGGCAGAAAGGTGGCACTTTGTGTGTGTTCAGGTTGTGGTGTTGCTGCCCCGAGACCCCCACTACTGGGGAGCTGTCGATCGAGAACAAGACAGGTAGGGAGGGAGGGACACACGCACGTGGTGCGACTCGATATGTCCGTGTGTTGTGTTGGTGCGTGTCCGTCCTTCCTCAGCGTCTATCGGGTTGATGGGGGCTCATCTGCCTGAAAACTGCGACAGACAGGTGGGTGTCATTCATTCAGGACGGATGGACAAAGAGAAGACTCACGCACATTTGTGTTTACGCTGCTTGGCTTGTTTGTTCTGTGTTTATCTGTGTGTGTGTGGCCGTCCGTCGGTTGGCTTGTGGATGGATGGATGGATGGCTGTATGTCTCTGTAGAGTGTGCCATCGATGGGCATCCGGGACGGCTCGGGGCTCGGCAAGAGCAAATACGAAGGTACGTGGGGGGGGGGGCACACTAACAATATGTATGATATGATGGAATGGGTGGAGTGTGGCCGTCCGTTTATTACTCCATGTCTGCCCACCCCACGTGCTGTGCGCATCAACACACAGAAGACACACGGATCTCTTCACGCCCACACACGGAAGGTCCGATGCGATGCGATGCGATGCGCACAGATAGATAGTAGATACAGACACACACGCGTGTTTTCCCTCCCATGCATCTGGACTGGCGTGTTGACGACTCCTTTTGCCTGTCTGTGAATGTGTCTGTGTGTGTGTATGTGTGTGTGCAGATCCGCTTCGCAATGGTGGTGCGGCTGTGACAGCCAACACGCCTGACGGGCGGAGCATGACGGCGGAGGAGAAGGCCAGGGAGAAGACCAGACTGCAGATACTGGTCAAGGACTTCGCCAAGGAGGTCGTCACGGGTAGGGATATACCTACCTCTACCTAACGAAAACTCACTGACTGACTGACAAAATCATTCATTTGTGGCCGGGCCCTTGACTTTACTTACAGGTATGCCTGTGAGTGTCATCGACATCGCAGACGGCAGCAAATGCGACAAACTCTTCTCAATGGATCGATACCTCATGGTACGGACGGACGGACCTACTTGCGTAATGACTGTGCTTCCTGTGTGCAGACAGACAGACAGACAGACACACAGACAGACAGACAGACGACACATGCACACACGCATAGCATAGCCATGCTCATCCGTCCTTTGGCCTGTGTGTGTGTGTGTGTGTGCGTGTGTGTATGCTATGCGTGCCTGCCTGCCAGAATTTCACGTTGGCTCCCTCTCCGGCCATCGTGACAAGTGCCGACCAGGAGGAGGGCCCCTCATTCAGCATGAACGACGTAAGTAACCAACCAGGCATCCCATCCATGGGATCGATGGATGGATGGATGGCCTATGACAGATCATGCTGATCTACAAGGCGCAGGACGTTTCTGACAGGCTGCCGTCGCTCCCGTCAGACGTCACACTCAACTCTGTCGGCATCGACATTAAGGTGGGCAAGTTGGCCATGTCCACTCACACACATGCACACGCGCCAACACATTTTCTGTCTCGTGTCCTGTGTGCCGACCAGGACGGCAAGCCTCTCATTTTCCACTTCGAAGAGGCATACGAGAGAGATAAGTTCTATACGTAAGCGACACGACACACGCACACAATACACTCACGGATGGTTGGAATATGCGTGTGTGCATATGTCCCATCCCACTCCATCCATTTGTGTGTGCCAACAGGTGCATCAAGATCCTGCGGATGAGTGTGGACATGGCCGGCAAGAAGTGAAAGAATGGGTGCATGAATGGATGAATGGCCATATCACATACATCACATACAGTATGTACACGAATGCCATATGATGGATGCCGTGCCACACGGACAGGCAGACTGACTGACTGACTGATTGGCTGCATCCAATCCATCCATCCATCCATCCATGTGTGTGTGTCGTCCGGTAGCGATACGATCATGTGTGCCGGGTGAGGGTGGGTGACGGTGGGTGTGGGTTGGTGTGGGTGGGTGGGTGCGTGTGTAAAGGAAGGCATTTGTGTTGTCACACGTAGATAGATAGATACCTCCATAACTAACATACTACTAACATACAGACAGACAGACAGACATACCTACACACCACCTGCATGCATTCATGCTCCTTCCTTCCTTAGTGCCTCTCACTCGCCCCTGCTCGCTCATGTGTGTCGTGTGTGTCTGTGTGTGTGTGCATTGCATTTATGTGTGTGTGCGGTTGGTCTATGTGTGTATGTCTGTATGTCTCTGTAGGTCCTTTTTATAATTCAGTGTGTCGATCGATCAACACTCACTCACTCACATGTTTTGCACACGCCCATACAAACATACCATTCCGTTTTGTTTGTTCACACATCAATCCAATCACGCCCCCGGCCATCTGACTTTATCTCTTCCTGTCTGCCTGCCTGTCTGTCTGTCTCTTCTCTGTCTGTCGACCGGCCCACCAGCCAACCGTCAATCAATCGACCAACTCGCGTACTCGACCAACGCGCTCCTGCGTGGCAAGATGGGTGCGCGCAAAGGCAAAAAGCGATGCTGCGATTGAGTGCATCGATCAGCCGACGCGACGCTTGAAGTGTGTTGTGAATGTTTGTGTACACACACGTACGCTATGGGTGGGGGGTGGGGTGGGTGGGAGGGCAAGGTAAGGTGTTCACACGCATTCTAATGCTCCCAACCAAGCTGACTGAGTGAGTGATCCGTGATAAGTACCGATACACACCCACGTGTGTGATTCACACCTGCGTACAGAGATCTCTCTGGATGGATTTGTTGTATATGCGCTTAGAGACTGCATACATACTACACACCGACCCTAGGCAGGCTGATCGACAGGAAGGAAGGACAAAAGGACGAGATGGATGCATGGATGGATGGATGGACGCAGCGACCGGCGAAAGAGCGAACTGTGATTCATTGAGGCCTTACTATAAATACTGAACAAAATGCGCCGAGGGCCCCAGCAGCATGACACCAGCTCTGTCTGTCTGTCACTCGGGTTCATTACATACACACATTGCAGCAATACTGACACATGCAGGCAGGCAGGCAGGGAGGCATACAGCTTATCCGTCCTTGTCCTTCTGTTCGTGTCTCGGGCGCTTCCGGTCTTCGTCCTCTTCACCACCACCCGCAGGCTCTGACCACACACATGCTCGCATACTCATATGTGGCCTTGCGCACCCACCGTGTGTGGTGCAAGAAGGGCACCTGCCTACCGGCAATTGGTCTTTTCTTGTCGCCCCTGTCCCTGTTGTCCTGTGTGCCTTCGTCACTGCAACCCATCCATCCATCCATCGATGAGTGAGTGACACATAGAAACATGCACCCACACGATCTATCGACGTCTTACTCGTAGTCATCTTCATCTTCGAGCTCATCCTCATCCTACACATGCAATACAGAACACACACACACACAGGCACAGACAGTTACGCCTGTGTGTCTCTGTCTGTCTGTGTGTCTCACCTACCTCGTCCATCGGCTCTTGCTTGATGGACGGATACACTGCACACACACACACACACACACACATATACACATACACAGGCATACGCATACACACTCATCCATCCCATCCATTTCATCCATGAGGTGCAGATGGCATCGCATCGCATAGGTCACCTGAGGGCATCCCTGGGCCACTGGATGCTGCTGCTGCTGCTGGACCAGCGCCGCCACGTGTTGGGCCCGTATACAGACCTGCTGGGATAGATACCACACAACCACCCAACCACAGACACACAGACAGACAGACACACAGACAAAAGATTGGATGCATTCTTCCGTCTTATGCGTGCGGGGGTCTGTGTGTGTGTGTGTGTTTGTTTACCTTGCCGATAGAGTGCCATATTCCTGGCAACACAGACAGACAGACAGACAACACATATATGACAACACATCAATCAATCAATCAATGGCGGCAGTCAGTGGTTCGTTTGCTGTTGGTCAGCTGGTGACCTGTCGTACTGGTCCTTCATCTGCACGTCACACACACAATCACTCGTTAGTTAGCTAGTTATCCATACATACGGCAGTCAGTCAGTCAGTTAGTCAGCCAGTCAGTCATGTGTGTGCGCCTCTGTGTGTGCATCGCATCACATCGCATCGCATCGATCACGTTGGGCTGGCTTGGCTTGCCTGTCTGCTTTTCTCCTCCCACGGGGCCTTCTCGTGGTCCGACATGGCCGACCAGATGCGAGCTAACTCTGATACCAGAGGGAGGGAGACACACGAACAAACACCATACATTAATACACACACATGGATGCGATGCGATGCGATGCGTGTGTATGGTCGGTCAGCCATACGATCGATGGCCAGGCCGCTCACCTCACCCGACCCACCTACCTTTGCTCTTGAGCGACTTCTGGCTGTGCCGCCGCATTTCTTCACCTGCAGACAGACACAGACACAGACCCATGCCAGGGAAGCCAAGCACAGACGAGACGTGCAAGTGAAGTACACACATGTGGGTCCAGCGGCGCTTACACCAGATGAAGAAGCTCGTCAGCGGCTTCTTGGGCTTGTTGGGATCGCTGCGAGTGAGTGAGTGATCACACACACACACACGCGGATCGTTCAGGTGTAGGTTTTCCTCCCTCCGCCTCACTCACTCAGTGTACGTACGTCATTTTGCGCCTTTGCCCCTCATGCACCGCCGACGATGGCGCCGGTAACCCTGTTTGGTTGACACACATACATACGTGTCAGCCAACAGACACACAGACAGACAGACAGACACCATTCATTAACCCTTCCTCTCCACCCGTCCGTCTGTGTGTCTGACTGACTGACCTGACCCAGCAACGCCCCTGTTGCGCGAGGCGACTGGAGGCATCGGCACACCCATACCGGGCCTGTGCATCCATCCACACACGCACACATGACACATCCTCTGCTCTCCCCCTGTCTGTGTCATGTGTGTCATTCATTTGTGCTCGCTCACGGAAAGTACGGCAATCGACCTACACACACACAGGCAGACAGACAGACAGACCCACACACGACAGGAGATGCAGGCACAAGACACACTCACAATCGGATAAGCACCTACCGGTTCTTTCTGCGACTGACTGAGCAGCTTTGACGGCCCAGTCGGCAAAGGAACACAGCACCTCGGCCAGAAGCCTCTCTCCCCGCTCGCCCACAGCGGACTGATATGATGTGACACATGGATGGATATGATGGATGGGCGAGTTGATTGACAACAGGCACACAGACAGACAGACAGACAGTCAATGCAGCATTGCCTGCCTGTCTGTCTGTCTGTCTGTGTGTGTGTCTGCCGGTTTGGGTGTGTGGCTCCTCCTTGCCATCCATGTCTGTGTGTGTGTGTACCTCTCCCCCCGACGGCAGGGGAATCTGCGCATTGTCAGGGTCACTCCCTGAGAGTTGCTGCACACACCGAAACACAACACACATACAACACATATGGACATAAGTACTTATATTTCCTCATCATCCAGCCATCGTACCTTCCCTTCCTCCATTCTCCTTTTGTCCTCCTCCATCGTCCCGGTGTTGGTTGGACAAATGGATGATGGTCTTCTATAAATATTGATGCTCAGATCTGCAGACAGACAAGAAGAAGGCTCTGGCTGCTCTGTCCCCTCATCCCCCCGCCCTTTGGCATGAGTCTCTCTCATCCTCTCTCTCCTTTCGGTACACCTTACTGCAGGCAGGTACTGCAACTCCTCCTCTTTGTCGCTGGGGGGGCGCGGGGGGGGATCGCTCACTCTCTTCCTCACTGTAGCTTGTGTGTAGCACTCAGGATGCGGCGAGCTAGCAATGCGAAGATGAATGGGCGAACAGGTACGCGCCTCGAAGCACGAACACGCCATGCGCATCGTGCGCTCTCCTTCCTCCTCTGTGTGCTGGTACTGGTTGGTGAACCCTTTCCAGATAGAACGCAGATTCCTTGTGCAGCTTGTGGCCCGAGATGGCTCTGTACAGGACGTCGCCGACGAGCTTGTGACCTTCACGAGCGGCATCGGCTCATCGGCGTTGAAGGAGCTCCTCCATGCCAAGTGCGCACCGCTTTTGAATGATGTGGGGTCCATGGCGATGCGCATCCGAGACCATCCCGAGCTCCTGTACCATGTGACTGCTGACAGCTTTCAAGGCCACGGACGGGAGGGGGAGGAGCCAATTGTCGTCACAATATCGCTTGAGTCAGCCAGGGAGACGGCCACGGTTAGACAGCATGAAGCGAGACGGTGGGCGAGATTGCTGGTCATTGATGTGTTCTTGTCTTCCTCTTGATGAATGCCACTGACTGTTTTTCCTTTCAGCGCGATGAGATCACCGGTGGGACATCTTCTTCTGCTGTGCGTTCGGGGCTACAAGCATTACGTTCCTTTTTATCGCCATCTTCAAACAGCATAGCTGGGCAGGCTACATCCTCACCTTGGCCGTCATCTTCCTTGGCGAGCTCAGCGCGCGGGGAACCTTCTTCAAAGGGGTTGCCAGATTCGGGCACTGTGTCGCGAGGCCATTTTGTTAGAGCAGCTAGAGGCCATGAGGGGCGGCGAAACAGGGAAAGCAGCGTGACAACGCCGCTTCTGTACGATCACACGTGAGTGAGTCCGGGGAGAGAGGAAAGGAGAGGAGAGGAGAGAGAAGAGACAGGGGCAGGCGAGTCTTTGCATCTTGTGTGTCTGCTGGCTGTGGCGGCTGCCTGGCTGTCCCTGCATATAATGTGGGCAGCGATGCGCACGTGCCGTGTGTACGCGGCACGTGGCCTAGGCACCGCTGTCTATGCGTCATATGACAGGGCCGCTGGCGCCTCAACAGACAGCACATATGCGGGTTTTACTTGGGCGACCACTGGGTATGTATGCATCGATCGAGTGGTGTGCACCATGATGTAGGGAGCTGACACGTCACAAGAGGGCATGGCATGCTGTATCGACAGCAGCAGCCAAGGGGCGTATGCAGCGCTCGAGTGTGTGCAGCTGTCAGTGGACTGAGAGGGGCTGTCTTCCTGGGGGAGAAACTGTCATTAACCGTAACACTCGTCTGTGTGTCCGTGATACTCATACAAATACAGTCCCATCAGCACGCAGAGTCAAACAGGCTCAAGGGAGGAGGGATCAATCCCCGCCCCATCAGCACACCCCAGTCCCGCAAACCCTCCCCTCCCTCCCCCACGCAGACAGAAGCTAGTCGCACGCGCGAGGGCGATAGACAAGTG